AGGAGGTGATGTAGAGGAGGTGGGGTGTAGAGGGAGGGGTGTAGAGGAGGGTGTGGTTGGAGAGGAGGTGGGTAGAGGAGGTGGGTGTAGAGGAGGGTGTGGGGTGTAGAGGAGGGTGTGGGAGGAGGAGGGTGGGTGTAGAGGTGGGGTGTGGTGTAGTGAGAGGAGGGTGTAGAGGAGGGGGTGTATAGGGAGAGTGTGGGGGTGTAGAGGAGGGTGTGGGGTGTGGGAGGGGGGTGTGGGAGAGGAGGTGGGTGTAGAGGAGGGTGGGGGTGTAGAGGAGGGGTGTGGGGGAGGGGAGGGGGTGGGAGGAGGTGTGTAAAGGAGTAAGAGAGGAGGGAGGGAGAGGGAGGTGGGTGTAGGGAGGGGGTGTAGAGGAGGTGTAGAGGTGGGGTGGGAGGTGTAGAGGAGGTGAGGTAGAGGAGGGTGGGGTAGAGGAGGGTGGGGTGTAGAGGAGGTGAGGGTGTAGAGGAGTGTGGGGTGTAGAGGAGGTGTGGGTGTGGAGAGTGAGGTGGGGTGTAGAGGAGGGAGAGGGGTGGGGTGTAGAGAGGGTGTGGGGGAGGGGTGGGAGGTGGGAGAGGTGGGGTGGGAGGAGAGGGGTGTAGAGGAGGTAGGGTGAGGAGGAGGGTGGTGTGAGGTGTAGAGAGGAGGGTGGGTGAGAGGAGGTGGTGAGAGGGGGTGGGTAGAGGAGGGTGGGTGTAGAGGAGGGTGTGTGTGTAGAGGAGGTGTGTGTAGAGGAGGGTGGGTGTAGAGGAGGTGGGTGTAGAGGGGGGGAGTTAGGAGAGGTGTGGGTGTAGAGGAGGGTGGGTGTAGAGGAGGTGGGTGTAGAGGAAGATGTGAGTGTGAGTGTGGGTGTATTGAAGTGGTATAAGGGTGCAGAGAGGGGGGTTTGAATATATATATATATATATATAGTATATATATGATATATATATTTATATGCTTAATTATAGTAGAGGTGTATATTGAAAATTCCTGGAAGCTCTTACACGATCAATTCAAACTGAAACTCTACTTTTTAATTTCTTGCTTTTATCCTCTTCACCACTGGAGTCGGTTCTTTAGCAGAGTGAGGGATCGGTCACGCCTCTCATACAAAACCGTTGGCAAGTACTGGCTCCTGAATGTATCTGAACCTGCTCCAGTGTCGGTCAAGTCTGGTCTTGAAAGAGCTTACACTCGGTGCCATCACAACACTCTCTGGCAGATTGCTCTAAGAGTTCACAACTCTCACTTCGAAAATGTTTGCCCTCAAAGTTTTCTGGATTTGTGGCTTCTTCAACCTTGAGCTGTGATCCTTTGTGGGGCGGCGTCCGCCAGCTCCAGGTATGGACACTCGACTTAGTCTCTGAAGTGTTTCTCCCACCACGTCACCCCTTGCCCGTCTGTTGTATAATTCTCTGAAGTGTTTATATTCCTCAATTACGTCACCCCTTGCCCGTCTGTTGTATAAACTAAGCATGCGCTCTAATCTTTCTGGGTACCTGAGGCGTCGAAGTGCAGGCACCAATCCCTAGCATACCTTGGAGACTAGATAGTACTCCAGTACTCCAGGCGGGGAAGCACCTACTTGAAGATCGTCACGAGGGACGGACCATCTAGATATGTGAACGTCCTTATAATTTATTTGCCTGATTCACCTTCTCACACGGGCCTGAGACCACTCCTGCTGTCAACATACACACTCAGGTCCTTTTCACATTCAGTCTCTATTACACGATCAACCAAAAACTGAAGCTCTTACATGAGCAAACAAAAACTGAAGCTCTTACACGACTAAACAAAAACTGAAGTACTTACGCGCTCAACCAAAAACTGTAGCTCTCATGCGAGGAACCAAAAACTGAAGCTCTTAGACGACCAAACAAAAACTGAAACTCCTACATGACCAAACAAAAACCGAAGCTCTTACACGACCAAACCAAAACTGAAGCTCTTATGTGACCAATAGTAAAACAGTCACTACATAATATACCGTGGTCCCAAGTAGGCTGGCATGAAACATTTTGATCTGGTCACAAGTTGTGATTGAGCCATAGATGAGAAAAATTACTGCGTGAAGAACGATTTAGTTATCTTAATTTTGCTTATGATATTTCAATATAATTTTAGCTTTTATAGCACATCTATCAACAATATCAGTACACATTTGGCTGCCTTACGATGATGAAACAACCCTGGAGTGGGAGTATTTTTTTCGAGGCAACCCACTGCAGTAAAGGTAGCACCTGCCCGGCCCGCCCGGCCACCCACCCTGCCTCATAACAAGAAGAGGTTTTAGTGAAAGAAAGTGTTAGCAAATGAACATCATCCGAAGGGATACAAACCCTGTCCACCATCCGTTACCATGGCAGGGTAAACATCGAGCAAGAGACGCTGTTACTGTAATATAAGGTATTGTAGCCACTGCTGAAGGCTGACTAGTGTCATTGTTTTAACCCTGAAAAGCTTTTTCATAATGCTCACCAAATTTATTTCCTAACCAGAAAAATTTCCAGCGTTCTCTCTGACCCCCAAATCTTGTTTACCAAGGCAACACTTAGTAAATTTTGGCGCGATTTGCACCAACGGTTATCGTGTGGACCTAGTCACCTGTTAAACAAACCAAACAAGGCAAGGTAATAGACGCGACAGTAACAAAATGAATTGAGAGAGACTAACTTCACGTCCACAGCCTATGATGTGCAGACATTATGATAACAAGTAATCAAACACTGCGAGAGGAAGAATAGCCCAGATCACAAATAGCGAGTAGTGTACAGTAGTGCGTGGTGAGTCACTACACTTACTGCCACCACCCAACTGTGAAATTCTGAGAAAACTACACACACACACACACACACACACACACACACACACACACACACACACACACACACACACACAGTTATATTGTTTATCAGACTACATGTAAGTCATGCCTGGGTCAACAGCATACCAGCTCAACGACAACACTACACTCTCAGCTCAAGTACAACACTACACTCTCAGCTCTAGGGACAACACTACACTCTCAGCTCAAAGAAAACAGCTACACTCTTAGCTCTAGGACAACACTACCTCAGCTCTAGTACAACACTACACCCTCAGTTCACTACAACACTACAGTACACTCTCAGCTCAAACACTACACTCTCACCAAGTACAACACTACAATCTCAGCCAAGGACAACACTACACTCTCAGCTCAAGTACAACACTACACTCTCAACTTAGTACAACACTACACTCTCAGCTCAAGTACAAAACTACACTCTCAGCTCAAGTACAACACTACACTTTCATCTCAAGGACAACACTACACTTTCATCTCAAGGACAACAGCTATGGTGCCAGACTTCTGCAGATGGACTATTCCTCGAGAGTACAGTAATGCAGTAAGGCCGCAGACTATCTTGAAAACGTCTTCTTATCATCCAACTGACGACTGCACAAGAACATCTTTTGATAAAGTGTACAGGTGTGTACTGTATACTGTACACCCGACCATCAATCTTGGTGTTTTAGGTCCAAGAGGAAGTAAACAAGTTGGTAAGTTGGAGTGCGTGAACGACAACTTGCTTCCCCGTCAACGACCACAATCTTCACGGTACAGCACAGTAATAGTGTTCTTCACGCCTTACGATTATATGACGTTTTGAACAATCCCTCCCCGTGCTTCCGCGTCCTCCTTCCTCAGTAGCGGCGCGGGAAAGTGTGATGGTTACAGTGGCTGCAGGTGAATGTGGGAGTCGTCCTACAATAAGAGGCGAGTATCGTACCTCGCTACCTATAAAAGTGGTGGGAGAAAATTAATGTCTTGCAAACACATACGTTATTGTCCCTCGATTTCTTTTCTTCATCAGTTTATATATTTAAGAGGGAAGTCATCTGTCGGCAAATTACCATTTTGCTCACCTTCTGGTATGCCCACTGAGGAAGTCCTCAGCCATACACGGTATATATGAACATCACTCGCTTTCCCTCTCGCTTTATGCAGGTTACCAGCGTGAATTTTTCAGCATATAAATTAAGAAGTAACCATGCCTCGCTTCCTCCGCCTCCTCAACACCATCACTAAATATCGACGGGTGAAGGTGGAAGAAAAAGATTTGCATTTCAAGATGTAATTAATTAAGTCACCCAAGCTTTACAACTCTGAAAAATTAGGAAATATCACGACCCCAAGCTGAGCTTTGAAGACCTTGTGACACAATAACATCTGTATTATTCCTTTCCTGTTCTCTAAGTTTTAACCATAAACATTGTATAGTACAGTAGAGTACAGTACAGTAATAGTACAGTATGTGTACAGTACAGTACAATACAGTACAGTACAGTACAGGCTGCAACACAAACAACAAATAAAACATTGTGCTGGAAGGGGTTGAGGGATCACATTACCGTCGGGAGAGGAGTAATTCTCACCCATATTATTATTCCATCAAGTAAAATTTGTATAGGAGGAGACTATAGCACCTGAATGCTGAGTTACGAACACCTGGTGAAGCACAAAACCCCTATATTAATATATAGGCCCTGGCCAAACTAACTATGTTAATAAACCATACACACACACACACACACACACACACACACACACAGTACTGCTGGTGGTAAACAAGAACAAGGTGCTGTACTGTATGAGGAAGGTGACTGTTTTGTTTCTTGACAGTTGAGGAGCGAGGCGGTAGAAGAGACGGCAGAGTCTTCCCTTATGTTGCCCACTTCCTTTACCACAGGTGAGTCACCCACTACAGTACAGTACAGTGCAGTACAGTATTATTACCCTGAGTTTAATATTAATTTCCATGTATTATGTAAAATGTCGAGACTAATAATAACTATTTAACGCGGCCACGTAAACTGTACCCAGGGAACTGCTTACTGCTGTATTACAGTAGTGACAGCTATTAACTGCAACATCCGGACCACTGCACTAAACTATACTCACACCCACAATGAGTGTCTCTAAAACAGACCCATAGAATAAACCAAGTGTTATGTTGTGGCTGCAGGAGACATGTTGTACCCGGCGCACGAGGGCCAGGTGATGGTGAGCCGTCTAGTGGAGGAGTTGACTCAGCTAGACCTGGTGGACGACCTCCTGCACGCCCGTGGCCAGGCCATCTACGCACTCACCGCCTGTGTGCCCAAGAACCTCCACCACGCCTCGGTTAGTGCTTCCTCAGCCTCACATTATTCCTCACAGAACTATACATCTGCCATGAATCCTGACAAACCACTGTGGAACACTCACGACTGTACACTCACTCACCCTCTATATCCTTCTGTCTGTGCACCCTGGCCATCTATATCCTTCTGTCTGCGCACCCTGACCCTCTATATCCTTCTGTCTGTGCACCCTGACCCTCTATATCCTTCTGTCTGTGCGCCCCTGGTCCTCTATATCCTTCTGTCTGTGCACCCTGGTCCTCTATATCCTTGTCTGTGCACCCTGGTCCTCTATATCCTTCTGTCTGTGCACCCTGGCCCTCTATATCCTTCTTGTCTGTGCACCCTGGCCCTCTATATCCTTCTGTCTGTGCACCCTGGTCCTCTATATCCTCTGTCTGTGCACCCTGGTCCTCTATATCCTTCTCTCTGTGCACCCTGGTCCTCTATATCCTCTGTCTGTGCACCCTGGTCCTCTATATCCTTCTGTCTGTGCACCTGACCCTATATCCCTGTCTGTGCACCCTGGTCCTCTATATCCTTCTGTCTGCACCCTGACCCTCTATATCCTTCTGTCTGTGCACACTGACCCTATATCCTTCTGTCTGTGCACCCTGGTCCCTATATCCTTCTGTCTGTGCACCCTGGCCCTATATCCTTTCTGTCTGTGCACCCTGACCTCTATATCCTTCTTGTCTGTGCACCCTGGTCCTCTATATCCTTCTGTCTATGCACCCTGGCCTTCTATAACCTTCTGTCTGTGCACCCTGGACCCTATACCTTCTGTCTGTGCACCCTGGTCCTCTATATCCTTCTGTCGCACCCTGGCCTCTATATCCTTTCTGTCTGTGCACCCTGGTCCTCTATATCCTTCTGTCTGTGCACCATGGTCCTCTATATCCTTCTGTCTGTGCACCCTGACCCTCTATATCCTTCTGTCTGTGCACCCTGGCCCTATATCCTTCTGTCTGTGCACCCTGGTCCTCTATATCCTTCTCTGTGCACACTGACCTCTATATATCCTTCTGTCTGTACACTCATTCCCCTCTATATCCTTGTCTGTGCACCCTGGCCTCTATATCCTTCTGTCTGTGCACCCTGGTCCTCTATATCCTCTGTCTGTGCACCCTGGACCTCTATAACCTTTCTGTCTGTGCACCCTGACGTTCTATATCCTTCTGTCTGTGCACCCTGGCCTCTATATCCTTCTGTCTGTGCACCCTGGCCCTCTATATCCTTCTGTCTGTGCACCCTGACCTCTATATCCTTCTGTCTGTGCACCCTGGTCCCCTCTATATCCTTCTGTCTGCGCACCCTGACCCCTATATCCTCTCTCTGTGCACCACCTCTATATCCTTCTGTCTGTCCACCGACGTTCTATATCCTTCTGTCTGTGCACCCTGGTCCTCTATATATCCTTCTGTCTGTGCACCATGGACCTCTATAACCTTCTTGTCTATGCACCCTGGTCTCTATATCCTTCTGTCTGTGCACCCTGGACCCTATATAACCTTCTC